CCAGTGAAACGAGGGGACCCTGGGTGTTACAAGAAGTTTGGTTGACAAATTGCGGTCTAGTACCCCCGCAAGTCTTGGTTCCCCAACATGACGAGGTTACCAAGCCGATTTCCACGGTCGTTGTGTCGTGGATGAAATGGACGCGGATCTCTGCCATCATTTTAGCGTTTTACTGGAGACACGAAGAGCCGCCTGGCGTGGCTCACAGGGCTGCGATTTTGTGGTTAGAGAACTAAAATGAAAGCTCAACCTTCACTTGCTCTGAAAAACAAAGACAAAAACAAAACCAAATAAGGACAGACAGTTGCTAGCTGCTTCTTTGATTGTTTTTTGATTTCACAATTTGGTTTCGAGTTGGCTTCTTTGTTGATAATATCTTTTTTTCGTGTTTTCTAGTTTTCGTGCTTGTTTGTTTGTTTGTTTATGTTTGTTACTTTGTTTGTTTGTTCGTTTGCTTGTTTTGATGTCTGTTTCTTAGTTTTCATGTTTGTTATCTTGTTTTAATGTTTGCTTCCTTGCTTCCTTTGTTTTGTTTTGTTTTAATTTCGTTTCTCGTCTCGCTGCTTTGTTGTCTGTGTTTGCTTGTAACATTTAATTATTTTTGCTCTTTCATTCACTGGTGTTTTTGTTTGAAACATTGCTAACCTCGTCAAGTGACAGAGTCGTTGAATTACTGCGCCTTTCAAAAACACGCGAACTCTGAAGCTCAGTCAAACCTCAACTAAGTTTTTTTTCGCTGCTGTCGATGATAATGACAAGGAGATAAGGAGATAAGATAAGGAGACCGGTTTATAACGACAGCGGCCATTTTTCTGTATCTCTAGTGACAAGTTCGTATATGAAGTTAACCTCGTTTTATAGACACTGGTTATTTGTGTACTGAAGATTTTCAGAATTATGTACCAATTAATCTGTTAGAAAATGAAAGCCTTTAATTTCACTAAACTTGCTATAATAAATGAGTATTGACGCTCTTGCACTTGACAAGGGAACTTTAAATTCAGTGCGAAACATTTATATATTTGTTCTTCAGTTACATAGATTAAATAGATATTTTGGAAGTAGATTTTAATTCAGTAAATTTTTATGTATATAATTTTAGATAAGATAGATTTTYTACTCAATATCTTTTGCCATATTTTCTGTTACAATAAATTGTAATTTAGAGCGTCCTCAATTAGCTCTGTTAAGCTAAATACATCGGCACTGTGAAATAAAGTTATTATTTATCTACACATCGATAAAACATGTGTTTGTTATATCTATTATGAGAACCCGGTTAATACGGACACCTGAGTAATGTAGATACTTCTGCGTATCTGTTCCACTGTGTTCTACATGTTGTACAAAAGCCTACCATGCATGCTGTACTGCGATTGACAGGAGGCTGACCAGTAGCCTATTTACAAAGTGT